GCCCACCGGGAAGTGTGAGTCCACACCAAACCCTGCACGCTGGTCAGCCGCAAAAACAAGCAAGTACTTCCCCTCCTCCCCCTCCTCCCCCTCATCCCATCAGTTCGCACCCTCCCACCAGCGCCTATAAAATATGTCCTCCATCTTCCTCTGCTGAATCCCTCTGCCTCTGCCCTCCACCCCCCCGCCCCCGAAACCCGACACCCTTCTTTCAACCCCTCCAACCGTCTTTGCAATTCCCCACGTCCTCGTCGCCACGACTCAACAACTTCGTCCTCAACAACCGCCATCGCCTGCGCCTGAAGCTCGGGATGGGCGCGTCTGCCATGGAGTACGAGGCGCACGACCTTTCCTCGGGCGACATCATCGCCGTCATGCTGCAGCGCGCGTCCAAGGAGCCTTCGTCGACTACAGGGGACGCCGCCTACGCAAAGCTGCTTTCGTCCGTGCAGACTTCAGGAAGCACTGCATCGCACGCGCATTCGCACGCTGCGATGCCAGTCGCATCTCACACGCAGAAGAACAACAACCTCCTCACTCCACCCTACCGTGGCACGCCCCATCCCCACGCCCCAAGCCAGAGTGCAACCAAAATGCTCCACGCTGTTGCCCATAACTCTGCCAGCTCCCCGTCCTCGCCATTATGTTCATCTTCACGCTGTCCGTACCCGTGGCATCGGGCGCCCCGCTTCCTGCCGCCCCGCCACCGGAAAACGCCCCTTGGCATTGGCTAGAGCCCGTCATCGCGGCCTCAGCCGCCATCGCCGCAGTCGTTCTAGCCGCCTTCCTCGGCTGGGCCATCGACTCGTTCCGCAACCGACGTCGGCGATCCGCGACCTTGCGGCAAGATGGCGTCCTGCTTCCCCGCATGCCGCTCTCGGCCGAGGCCGCTCATGTGGAGACGGAATACTGTGCGGTGTTCATTTACGAGTCGAGGACCACAAGGTGTAGAAGGTATTAATTACCAAGGCTGTGTTGTGTCGGAGTGGGGTTTTTGGAGGTTTGTGGTGTTAACTTTTAATATCGTACATAGGCTCTCTTATTTTTACATTGTGCATAGGCTCTCTTATTTTTACATAGTACATAGGCGCTCTTATTTTTAACTGCTGTAGCTGACATTAAACCTTTGGATGTAGATCATGCAAGAGGTGCGGCGACCCGTTTTCTCTTCGGTTTCTCTTCTCTAACCGAGCTGATGTTTCACGAGACAACGCAACATGTCGGAAGTCTCAGCGCAATGGTCGAGTTTTTGATGTCTCCGGCGACCTGTCAAATAGTAGGAAAGGTAACCTCGAGTGTCAGCGTACCGAGCATCAACAAGCATACAGCATCGCCCCATGTCCAGGTAACGAATGACCTTCTGGATTTGAGAGAGTCGCAAATCTGAACAAAATCTTTCGTTGTACTTAAAGCTGCTTCCCCGGTGATTTTGCGCGACGTTATTGTCGAGGGCAAGTACGTTACGTAAAGAAATGGTGTCCAAATTCACTTCATAAATTCGCAATTCAAAAACGTTGTCCGTAAAATAACACGTTGTTTTTTCCATTTGCCCACAAACTCGAAGGACGTAAAGTAAATCCGAGTTTGAAAAATCCCAACACGAGTTTTGTGGACTGACCTCCAGCAAGGTACCTGCTCGCAACGAACGCAAGTCTGGTATATGGTTGTGCCGTACGACGGATCACGTGCGCCTGCGCGAATACTCGCTGAAGCGAATATTGTAGCTCGCCACAAGGATAGAACGGTTCTCAGTCGAAAGGGCGATGCGTTTCGTCTTTTTGACAGGCTGAGGGGGGAAGTTTAGAGAGGACCGCTCTTTAGAAGCTTCTACTTGTCTTTCTTTCGCGGTTGCTTCGGCGGCATCTGTGGCAGATCCTGTCGCGCTATGATCCATTGATGGACTCTGCCCAGATGAAGCGATAGGGGCGTCCATGATGCAAACCGGTACGACCCGCGCAGTATAAGACTCGTTTGTGCTGATGAGAGAGCAGAAAACTCACTTCGTTTTCTTTCAAGACGGGTTGATCCGGCACTGCTGTGATGAGGCGGATGTGAAAGTGGTGAAAAACTCACATGCCCCGAGTTTTCGGCATGCTGTGAGTTTTGCCAAACGCGTTGTTTGCAAAATTTGCGTTCAGAAAATCCGAGCAATCTCGCCGCCAAAACACGCGTTTTCGTGACTTCACGTGTGTGAACTGGAGACCGATGACTCCTCCTCGTTTACTCGTCGTCGCTCGTGGGTTAAGTATGTCCTGTATAGGACAGACTGTCCTGTGCGGTCTGACACTACAAAATGGCTATTGGCGAATGTGATTGTGCGGTCAGACAGTCCCCGGGTTCGCCAATAGGGGTTTTGGGGCGACGATGCTAAGGTTACGAAGGAGGTGCCGTGTACGTTGGGGTCCGAGTGGCTTGGTGAAGTAGTCCGCTAAGTTTTCGTCGGAAGGGATATGTTTGATGTTGACGTTTCCTCTTTGGATGTGGTTGTGGATGAGGTGGTGTTTGACGTCAATGAATTTTCGGCGTTTGATGGGCGCCGAGTTTTGGGCGACAAGGATGGCAGACTTGTTGTCGACGAAGAGCGGTGTTGGTTTAGTCTCAGGCGTTCGTGTTTCGCTGAGAAGCCTTCTGAGCCAGTGGGCCTGTTGTGTAGCGGCGGTGGCGGCTAAGTACTCTGCTTCGCACGTGGAAGCCGCCACAACTGTCTGTCGGGCTGATGTCCAGCTTATAGGTGCGCCTTGGAACATGTGTACGACTCCGGTTCGCGATTTGCGGTCGTGATCATTCGCAAAATCGGAGTCGCTGTACGTGCAGAGAGTGGGGGAGGTGGTTCTGGGTGCGGATTTGAAAAGGATGCCGTGATCCTTTGTGCCGCTGAGGTAGCGTAAGAGCCATTGGAGGTGGTCTTTGTGCTCTTTCGCGGGCTTGTGCATTACCGAGGCTAGCATGCTGACGGCTGGATGTATATCTGGCCTTGTGCTGTCCGCTAGGTAGCGCAGATCGCCTATTGTTTGGCGGTACAGAAAGGCCTGATGTTGTTCCAGTGGTGTGCTGTCGTGTGCGAAGGTGAACGCTGCTTTGGGGGGAAGTGGTGTGCGCTTTGGGTTTGCTGCGAGCATGCCCGTTTTCGTGAGTATTGACGTGGCTACTTGCGGCTGTGCGATGTGTACTTCGCCTTGTGGCATACGTTGTATGTGCCATTTCAAGTATTGGGCTGGGAAGCCTAGGCGCTTGATTTTGTATTTCGCCGCGAGGGTGGCGTGTAGTTCGTCTTGCATGGCTTGGGTTGAGGCGACAGAGAGAAAGTCGTCCATGTTGACTGCTACGAGTATTGTGCCTTTGATTGATTTTTTGAAAAAGAGGCACGGGTCGGCTTCGGTAGGCTGGTAGCCATGGGAGGTTAGGTGTTTGAGGAGGCCGTCGTGGTAGATGCGGGCGGCCTGTGGTGTGCCGTATATGTTCTTTATGAGGAGCCCCGCTTTTCCTTGATGTTTAAATGTGCCATTGAAGCGGGGGTGTTGTTTGATGTATACCGGTTTCGTTTGGGGGAAGCGTTCATGGAGGTATGCTAAACTGATGTCCATGTGTTCTAGTGACCAATTGCGGGAGGCGGCTATGGCTAATAGGAGCCGTACTGTAGTCTTGTCCGCCATGTGCGTGGTAACTTGGTCGGGGTCATAGTGCTTTCCAGGTGTCATACGGTCACCTCTTGCGGCGCATCTTGCTTTGCGCTCGGTGGCGGCTCCCGTATGGTCCCGTATGTAGCGGTAAGTCATGGTGAGCGGTATTAATTTTTCGTGTTTTGGGATCATGCTGTCGGGGATCCATCTGATGGTGTTTTTGTCATCTAATTTTTCTAGTTTGGCGTCGTGCGCTCGTGCCCATTCGTGCGCGTCGGGGTAGTTGCGAGCTTCTTGTCTGGTGCGGGGGTCTGGCGTGGTTATCTGAGGAGTGGGTTGGGGTGGAGGGTTTGAGGTGGTGCGAAGAACGGCGTTGGTGGTGACAGCTGGGTCATGTGACTTGGTGTATGGGAGGAAGTCTTGTGTGCGGACTGTGTGATATTGGTGCGTGTGGGTATCTTGAACGGTGATTGAGCGGGGGTTGTTGGCGTACATATAGCGTACAGGTCGGCTGCGTGACTCGAGTTTCTTCTTATTTGCGTAGATCGGCACGGTCCCGATCTGGCCGAAGATGAGGAGTTGTTTGGGTTTCGCCGGTTGGCTGTGCCACAGTGTGTATGGCGCTTGGTTTGTTGCGCTGTGAGGTAGGATATTGTACTTGTAGGCAGCGTCTCGTACCGCGTCTTCCCAGTATGTTGCAGGCAGGTTTGCGTGGTGTAGGTTTGCTCTTGCCGCATTCATGAGGGTTTGATTAATTCTTTCAGCGATGGAATTTTCTTGAGGTTAGTGAGGCGTGTTGTTTTCGTACTGTATTCCTAGAGCGGCGTAGGTTTGGAGCGCATGATTGGATTTGAATTCTCGGGCGTTGTCGGTGCGGTATATTTTAGGGAGACGGTTGCGGTGTTTGAGTTGGGCAAAGAATTGAGGCATGATGATGCCGACTTCGTTCCGTGATTTGAGGAAGTACAGTATGACATGCCGTGAGGCGGCGTCGATGTACGTAAGGAAGTGTAGATTGCCGTGCGTAGATCTGGGTTGGATCGGTCCGCATGTGTCTGAACTGAGATATTCACCGGGGGCATAGTGGTGGGGTGCGGGGGTGTGGCGTGCTGGTCGTTGTTTGGCGTGCGAGCATGCCGAGCATGATATGCGAATTTTTGTGGTTGACAGTGATGCTGGAAGGCCGTGTACTGTTTTAGTTTTTGCGATATTTTGTATTGTGCGGAGGGGGGCGTGGTTGAGTTTGAGATGCCATTGATGCAGAATTCTGTCGGCTGTCTTACAGGGGATTTCTGGTATGTGGGGAGCTGGTGTCGATTTAATGGATTTTGGTGTGTGGTCCCGTGACTGTGTGAGGCCGGTGGGTGTGGCTTTGCTGGTTGTGAGGGGTGTGGCAGTTGGTTTGGTTGTCTGTTGCGGTGCCTTTTTCGTTGGTGGTTTGGGAATTGGCCTTGTGCGGGCTGCTCTGGCCTGTTGTTTTGGGGTCGTGAGGGGTGTGGCGGTGGATTTGGTTGTCTGTTGCGGTGCCTTTTTCGTGGGTGGTTTGGGATGGGGTCTTGTGCGGGTTTCTCTTGCTTGTGGTTTTGGGGTTGATTTCCATGCGTACGATCGGATCTGAGAGTCCCATGGTGCCGTGCCAATGACAGTGCCACGTGAATTTTTGTCAAATATGTAGGCTACGTCTGGTGTGAATAGGACGTTGCCATGTTTTTGCGTTATGGATCTGACAGAGAGGAGATTGTTGGGGATTCTGGGTGATACGACGGCGGTGATTTTCAGGGGGTGACCCTTATTCGTCCGTATCGTCGTCTGTCCGATGTGTGTACAGGGTACAGTTTGGTTAGTGGCCGTTTTGGTTCTGGTCGGGGCTAGTCGAGGGTTGTGCAGTGAGGAGAGTGACTGCATGTGGGAGGGGTGTGCTCCCGAGTCCAGGATATACGTACAGTGATCTTCAAGAAGATCGACCCTTGGCGCTTGGTTGAGCACGTTGGGGTGTCCTGCGTCTGGGTCTTGTGCGTACTCGACCGGGCTTTGTGTGATGTGGGCCGTGTTGAGGAGCTTGGGACGTGTTGTTGGACGGATGTATTGGTGGCGAGGGTGGGCTGGATGGTTGCACTCTTGATCCGTGTGTCTCGGTCGAGTGACGCCTCGGGACATGTGGAAGCGACACGGATTTTTCGGCACCGGTAGGTTGTGTTGGGGCCGGCGGGTGTACCATGGAGCGGGTGTCCTGTTTCGGAATGAGTTGGCGGGACTACCAATGTCGCCATGCATGCTTGCCGGTTTAGGGAGGGATGATCGCTGGTACAGATCTAAGCGATTGAACTTGTGTACGAAGTCTTTGGTGTCTTTGGGATCGAGGGCGATGAGCTGGTTTCCTATGGTGGCTGTGGCTGGGTTGAACCTCAGACCATCTATGAGAAACTCGACAGTAGTCTTGGGGTCAGAGATGTCTGGGAACCGGGCTGCTATCATCCTTGTTCGAATCTTTTCGTGGGCGTTGATGTACTCTTCTAGCGTCATTTCGGGCTTGTAATGGGCTTGCTCTGCCAGTTGCTTTAGGTACTTGTGATCTGATGCGTTTGTGGTGTCGAGGTGGGAAGTGACGGCTTGTACTAGATCGTAGGGAGTGGGATCACTGGTTGGCGTGAGGATGAGATTGGCTATTTCGGGGGGTATGGACGTTATTAATTTTCCAAGAAGGTAGTTCTTGTTCTTGTCGAATATGTTGAGGTCGGTTGGGTCTTGCGGGGGTGGGGGGTTTCCTGTGATGTGTTCGATAGCTCCGATGGTGTGTGCTGCTGCGCGGGTGGCTACTATCCAGGGGCCGTAGTTGGTGGGGTCTAGTCTTGGGATGTCTGGTCGTTTTTCCATTGTGTCGGTGTTGTGTTGTGTGTGAATGTCTTGTGTCGTGATCGTGGGTTGTGTCGGTGGAGGTTTGTATGTGAGGTGTTGGTGGTGGTTCAGCCTGGGGCTCCTCCGCAGGGGGAGGGATCGGTGTGTTCTTGTCGTTGTGGGAGTTGTTGTTGTTGATGTAGAGCAGTGGGGATGTCGTGTTGTGCAGGGTAGCGAAGGGTGCCCGTAACCTGTGTGAACTGGAGACCGATGACTCCTCCTCGTTTACTCGTCGTCGCTCGTGGGTTAAGTATGTCCTGTATAGGACAGACTGTCCTGTGCGGTCAGACATCACGGACAACGTTAATGTATATATTTGGCCGAAGAAAGCCGACCTCTCGGGAGCGCTAAGGAGCTAGTCGTCTAGCAAGAGGCACTAGCAAGAGTACTATAAGTGCATGAATTAGGCTTAACAAAATGTAGGCCATTCGCTCATTCTTGATGGCTTTTCGGGTCAGTTTCACGGAAGAGCGGCCTGATGCCAGACTTGAGTGGAGTACGAGTAGATACTGTCCGTGAAGCGCATGTTTGGGCGAGGACGAAGAAAAGGCGAACAGAAGCACGGCCATCCAGACTGGCCTCCATACCGATCAGGAGCTGAACAGTGCCCGATAGTGCTTGGTGCGGAAAGGGGGAAAAGTAGGAACAGAGGACCGTTCTGAATGAGGGTCCGGGTACTCTATGTTAATGTCGCATTTGTCTTGAAAGAGCTGCTGCGCGTGGTCGCAGGTTACGAGACATTGTCAAGCGGTAATGTGGGGCAAGAATGGCGCGGGGAAAAATTACAGCACGGCCGGCTCTGTTGCAGCTTCCATGTCGTGCAGTGCCGTGATGGTAAGCGCCAAAACTGACATCCGGGAGAAGCCAACCTGCACGAGCAAGCACAGTGAGATTACGAAATTTGTTAGTCTTTATTCCCATGCCAATTCTTTCTGAAGCTCGCCCTCCGAGAAACGTAGACGTCAAAGCGATAGTCCGTGTGAGTCATTGAAGACGTGGAAACAGCGGGGCATGGAACTTCAACATCAAGAGCGGGGGACATAGCGGGATTAGGGGACGACGACGCGAATGATTGTAGCGGTGGCGCCGACAGGGTCCAGCCATTGCCAATGGGAAGTGTCCGGAGGATGGAGAGCGGGTTTACTTCAAGTCAGCAAGGGTTTTCAACGGGAGTTGAGGGTGTCCGACGGAGAGATGGCAATGTGCGTTTGAGCGGAATGAGGGAAGCGAAAGCGGTAGGATTGAGAAAAGTAGAGGCGGTAGGAAGTCACAGTGATACTGTATGAAGGCTGGCAGTGTGAGGTGTAAAGGCGGCGGAATGGTCGGGACGATCGCAAGTGCACGTTTTCGCCATTGCAGTACACGTATACATGCCAGGCTCGCCGCTGTATTCGTCGGAGAGATTCTGACACCGCAGAATGAGATGGATTAGCGTATAAAGGACGCGTGAGTTGCTCAGAAAGGCCAGTCCCGGCAACGTTTATGGAGGAGGATTGCTCTTGAGAGAAATACCCCATGCAATGGACTGCCGTCAAAATCAATACGTCAGCATGGGTGCGCTGCTCGCGACACTGTGTAAAGGGGGCGGTTGCGCCACGAGGGGGTAATGTGGGTGGTGTGGACTCCACACACTGTGGAGGCAGGGCGGCGCGTGCGCGGCGCGGGGCCCGCACGTAGATGCGCTCGCGCGAGCGGGGGGACGCCCCACCCCGCGCCTTGGCGACAGACTCCTTTTGCAGTTTGTATTTGTTTTCTAACACGTGTCTTTTGCTGCTTCAATTCTGTGGCGCGCCGGGCTTCGGAACGATAAGGGGTGTTCATGTGTTGACATCAGCAAAAGAGGCCGTGCTCCTTTCACAGCTTCTTTTGCTGCTTCTATTCTGTCGCGCACCGAGCTCCTTTTGCAGCTCCTTTTGCTGCTTCTATGCAGCTCTATTCGTTTTCTAACACGTGCTCCTTTTGCAGCATCTTTTGCAGCTTCTATCCCCCCGCTATCACCCGTCCGCCTCCCCCCGCGACGCTCGCCATCTCCCGTCCCGCGAGGCGCTCCCCTATTGGACCGTTAGTCCACATATGAGGACAAAACTTATTTTATTTTTTCTGGACAACCCTGTCGTATGTTACACGTGTACATAGCTCCTAGACGGTACTTAACACCGCCGTCGCTCCTCCCACAGTAAACTTGACTAAGGTCTTGAGTCTCTCCTACAAACCCAAAGCGCGATTTCACTCGTGTTTTTTTAAACCAGAAGGCCATCACCACAGGTGAAGCATTTGCTTGTCGATTGTAGCAGAAACCAACTCGTTGATGCATAAAGATGTTGAAAGGAAAAAGTCGGCTTACCGTACGCACTTTTCTTTAAGCTAAAACTATACCAGTAGCGTAGAAACAATGCGTTGAGGGCTTACGCGCGGGCAGACGCGTCTGCGCGCGCGTCGAGACGGAGTGCGGAGACGGAGTGCGGAGACCGATCGAGACGTGGACGACGGAGAGCAGAGTGTTGAGTGAGTAGACGGAAGGCGGAGACCGGCGCCGAACCTGCACGGCGTGTCCTCTCATCTCGAGATGGAATGCGGAGACATCTCGAGGCCTGCGACTCGTCTCGAGACGGTGCGCGGAGACATCCCGAGGGGCGCACACGCGCGCTCGTCGACATCTCGAGGCGCGCCTGTCCGCCGCGCTGAGCGGTTAGCGGCACGGCCGAGCGCCATCTCGAGGTGTCCCCTGCGCCGAGCGACATCTCGAGGTTGTCCCCCTCGCTGAGCGACATCTCGAGGTTGTTGTCCCCCTAGCTGAGCGACATCTCGAGGTTATCCCCCGCACCGAGCGGTTGTCCCCGAACAGAGCGCCTGTCCCCCGCGCCGATCTGTTGTCCGCCGCGCCGAGCGCCTGTATGCGCGCCTCGTGATGTCTCTGCACTCCGTCTCGAGACGAGACGCCTCCGTCTCCGTGTCTCCGTCTTCGCACTCTGCCGGGTAGAATGCGTGCCATGAGGGGGCAGAGTCTGCCCCCTCATGGCATCCGTCCGAAGCCTCCCGCCAGCGCCTATAAAATCCAATCCTCCATCACCCTCTGCGCCAAAGCCCTCACCCACCACTCCTCCACCCCCAAAACGCAACACCCTCCTTTCAACCCCTCCGACCGTCTTTGCAATTCTCTACGTCCTCGTCGCCACGACTCAACAACCTCCTCCTCAACAACCGCCATCGCCTGCGCCTGAACCTTGGGATGGGCGCGTCTGCTACGGAGTACGACGCGCGCGACCTTTCCTCGGACGACGTCGTCGCCGTCATGCCGGAACGCGCGTCCAAGGAGCCATCGCCGACTACAAGGGACGCCGTCTACGCAAAGCTGATTTCGTCCGTGCAGACTTCAGTAAGCACTGGATCGCACGCGCATTCGCACGCTGCGATGTCAGTCGCATCTCACACGCAGAATAAGAACAACCTCCTCACTCCACCCTACCGTAGCACGCCCCATCCCCACGCCCCAAGCCAGGGTCCAACCAACATGCTCCACGCCGTTACCAAGCAACTCTGCCAGTTCCCCGTCCTCGCCATTATGTTCACTTGTACCCTGTCTGGACCCGTGGCATCGGGAGCCCCGCTCCCTGCTGCCCAGCCACCGGAAAACGCCCCCTGGCATTGGCTAGAGCCCGTCATCGGGGCCTCATCCGCCATTGCTGCAGTTTTTCTCGCCGCCTTCCTCGGCTGGGCCATCGAATCGTTCCGCAACCGACGTCGGCGATCCGCGACCATACGGCAAGATGGCGTCCTGGTTGCCCGCATGCCGCCTCGGCCACTCTTGGCCGCTCCACTGCCGGGCGAGGCCGCTCGTGTGCAGACGGAATATTGGTCGGTGTTCCTTTGCGTGTCGAGGACCACAAGGTCTAGAAGGCGTTAATTGCCAAGACCGTGTTTTGTTGGAGCGGGGGTTTTGGAGGTTTGTGGTGTTAAATAGCTATATCGTACATACCGTAGGCTCTCTTATGACATGCACTGTAGCTGACATTTTAATCAAATCGTTTGATGCAGATCTCATGCAAGCAGTGCGGCGTCCTGGTTTCTCTTCTCCAAGCTTCTGTTTCACGAGACAGCGCAACATGTCGGGAGTCTCAGCACAATGCTCGAGCTCTTGATGTCTCCGGCGACCTGCCAAAAATAAACAGAAACACGGGAGTATTGAGTGATGTCCAGAGCCGGAAGAAGATGGTTTTGACAAGGTGAAGATCTTGTACAGTTTACTTGTACCGCCTCAGACTGGTCGTTATATATACTACACAATCCTACGTAAACCCACCTAAACCGTAGAAACATCCGAAGCTATCGCCATACTATCAGTGGGGGCGATCGGGAACTAAACCGAACTTAACAGTGGTTCACAGCCATAATACATGCAGTAGCATCGGAGATACAGTAGAGAAAACGAAATCAACCAATCATTAAACAGCAACCGGGCGCAAATGTGCGAGATAGAGAGATAGGGTTTCCACTCAAGGACAGATACATCCTTCAGGAATAATGATGGCACGAAAGTAGATCAAGTAGGCCGAATTCAGTATCCATGGCTTTCACATAGGTTACACGCTGTAATCTCAAGGATGGCAGCACGTCCAAGCTGAGGAATATCTTATCTCAACTTCAAATAGTGGGAAAGGTAACCTCAAGTGTCAGCATACTGCGCATCAACGAGCATACAGCATCGCCCCATGTCAAGGTAACAAACGACCTCTCTCAAATCCAAGCCACGCCGTTTATGACGTTGTATGTGATGCAAGATCGATTCTGCTGTTTACTGATGCCCAATGCCTGTCTACCTTATAAAGGGAGGCTACTAGCGATCCGTAGGCCGGCGTCGAGTGAGGTGAGCAGATCGTGCTGTCATGCGTGTTCTACGTGTGCAGGTATGGCTCTCACGACATTATACGCGCTGCGCTCCATCTGGAAGACAATGCTGACCTCCCTCGTCTTGATTAGAATTTCGTACCTCTTGCATTTGACACTCTTGGCACCCTGAGCCCCCGCACTACGTCCGTACTTGACCTTCTCGCTCGTCAGATCGCGACTCGCAATGGGACGTTGTTTAGAACTGCCAAGTCCCGACGGGACTGTCCCGTCTCTCACAGCGCCTTGGCTACACTATATAGTACAGCGTAGCCTCGGCTATCATCGCCCGTATGCCTTATCACGGCTCGGCCCTATCATGTCCCACCCAAATGTGATTCTTTAACGCCCGTCCTGTGGTATAGCATCGGCTCCCCCTGAAAGTTAGAAAAAATAAACCTCTCTTGCAGAAGCCAGTTGGCCGTTTCTGCCACGCCGCCCACACAAGTGATTGTTTTGAGATTTATTCGAACGGTATTGTGGAATCACCATGTAATCCCCCAGCGCTCATTGGGGCAAGGGGGAATCTGAACGTGACCGTCACATCACGCAGTCACGCCACCGCCGCCGTCGACCGCGGCGGTGCTTGAGGGAATACTGTATTTCAGTCCCCCGAACTCCCATTGGGGACGTGCTGCGTTCGGCAGTCATTTCGCTTCTCGCTTTCCCTCCCGCCATCCCGCGTCTCACCGGCTGCTCGCAGCCCCTTTCGGCTTCTTTCTGTGTCGTTTTAGAACGCAACTAGTGGAGTGTGTCTACATGTCTACGTATCTACACGGTTACACTCTCCAACCTTCGACTCCAATTAAAGAATTGTGTCATCAGGCATCACTGAGCAGCCGGCCCCTTCGCGAGCATATCCATTACGTGGAAGTTTGATTTATAATTTGATTTGATTCAAGCTTTTTTCCGTAACTGTATCCTATTATTGATCTATACTGTAACGGTACTGTAGCATCCAGTAAAAACTCGCCGTGACGCGCATGGCGCATGTGTACGCGAACACCTCCGATAACATGGTCCATTTTTTTTGAATACCTCCTGTGTAGCTGTCAAGATAGCCATAGTCAGCCATACGTGTCCACGTAACACACGCACACACGCCGCTCGTCACACGACGGCGGCGTCTGCCTCTTAAGGCGATCCGGCTTCGAGCGGACAATAAACGAGGTATCGTTCCTTGCACCACAGTACGGCTTGTAAAAAAGTCGTGGTTGGATTTCCAGTTTTATAATTTTATTTGCGTTATTAAATCGAAACTTAATAAAGTCAGTCTGGACGCCATTTCTTAAACGTACATGCCCTAGGCAATAGGATCTTGCGAAGCATTGGGATAGCAGTTGTTGACAACGTCAGTGCACAGAAAGGCTAAGATTATAATCAAGTTTCAATACCCGGTTGACATTTTAAACAGGCGTTTTGGTTTCGATGACAGTAACAAATAGCGTTTTGAGGTCGGTCCAAAAGAGTTCTTTTTGGGGCATCTAAAAATAGCCGGAGAAGATGTGCCGATCTCACCAAAATCCATCCTTCAGCAACGCACAAGTCAAATGTGGGGAGGGTACTTTTTTCCTTGTTGTTGAGCAAGCACAGGTGGAGAAAAAATGGGTTGAAAGGTAGCCTCTTGTCGTCAGGACACTAGTGTCTATCCGACCAAGCATTATCACAACATAAAAATCTGTGAATTTTATTTCTTTTCAACTTTGATGTCCACGGTTTCCATTTTTCTTTGGTAGATTGACTATTTTTAATTTTTTCTGAAGTTTCTATGCTACTGGTATAAAATTTGCTTTAAGAAAAATGCTAGTTGTAAGCCGACTTTTTCTTTTGAACGCCTCTATGTGGGTACCAATGAGACAGTTTTCGGTAAGAATCGAAAACCATGTGCTTTACCTGCAGTGATGGCCTTCTGGTTACAAAACATAGAACTGAAATCGCTTGTTGCGTTGTCAAGAAAAAACAAAACAACTTTTGTTCTCATATGAGCACTAACGGTCCGATAGACACTCATCTAGCTACCTCTCGAGAGGTAGTGGACCGCATTTATCGCTACTGCATCAAGCTACCATGGGATATTTTAGTTTGGTTAGTTCTAAACTGTATACTGTAGCGCTCCACGTGCGCCCAGTGTACCATTCACGGCCCCACTCGTGTCACAGGGAACGTCACGCTGCTAAACTGAAAAAAAGTCAGTTGCAAAAAAAAGAGCATTTGATAATTGCATAAACTCTATTTATAAAAAAAGGCATGTCGTTTCAAGTACTTTCCCGTAATTTGTTATTTTAAAAAATACCGCACTACAGCTTCCACCAGCTTACCCAATCTCCCTTACTCCCATCTGCCTTACTCCGTCTCCCAAAACCTGTCGGCCCCCTCCGGCAGCCACTTCATCCACTTGGCGTCGAGTGACCCTGCGACGAGCTTATCGGTGAGCTCCTGCGCGGACTGCGCGATGCCCTTGCACAGGTCGCTACCCGCCTGAATCGCGGGCTTGAAGTGCACCCCCGCGTACAGCCTCGACTCCCCGCACAGCTGCGCCCACTCGCTCAGCGTCTTGATCTCCACGTCCGTGTCCCTGCTCGGCAGCTGCCCCGGGTAGAACTTGCTCGACCCCTTCGGCACCGTGAACCGGAACGGGAAGTCGTCCTTGTTCTTCGTGTTGATCAGCGCGTGCTCCACCACCGCCGTGCACGCGAACGAGCTGCCCGACGGGAACTCCGCGTGCGGCATCGTTCGGATGAACGGGCTCCAGTCACCGGCCCTGATCTTCACCGGCCGCCGCCCCGGCCCGCCCCACACGGAGAACTGCTTCTCCCCGAACAGGTACTCCATCGTCTGCCCCGTTGGCCGCACACCGTCCACGCGCCGCTTCTCCTTCCACGCTGTCACCATCGAGTCGAACGTCGCGATGTTCGCCCCCAGTCCGTAGATCATCTCCTCGTCCAGGTTCCAGTCCAGCGCCGGCGGCAGCACGCTGAACCGGATCGCCGTCGCGATCCCGCCGAGTCCGAACGGGTTCTCCTTCGTCCGGAACGCCTTCGCCTTGTTATCGAACAGCTCCGCGTAGATCATCTGCATCTCGGTCAGCTTGCGAGATGCCTCCAGCACCTCCTTGGCGTTCCTCTTCAGCGTCTTGATGTCCTCGGGTAGAGCGTTCTTGGCTTGAACAGATCCCTTTTTGTACGGGGACGGCACCTTGCGCCTCTTCACCTCCTCGGGCGTAAGGCTGAACGCGATGACGGACCCGGAGTATGGCGTCACAGATTCCTGCCGGAAGAAGAACCCGCGCCCGTTGTTGTCGAGGAGTGGCTGCCAGCGGAAGGGGTAGCGCAGCCTCCACGGCGTATTCTTGGGGATGTAATTGGTGTAGTCGAGGAACGGCTGCCTGTATCCCTTCGGCGTGCTGCTGATATCACCCTCGCCGTTCCAGCCGTCCATGCGCATGAGGCGGGCGGTGTCGCGCCCGGCCCTGTTTCCAATGCCGACAGCGGTCGTTAGGTCCATGCTCTGGTCGTTGGGGTCGTACCCCATCTCCCTCATCATCTGTCGGTACAGCG